AAAAAAATTAATTATTTAAATATTATATTAAGTTGTATAAAAATATTGTATAAAAAAGTGAAAAAAATTAATTCTTAAAGATAAAGAGTATAGGTTAAATATCCTTTTTGATCCCTCTACTATAAGAAAAAGTCTCTTTTTAGTCCTTATACCGAAAAAATCCCTTTTTTGGTCCTTACTGTTCACAAATCCGGCCCCTTTTTAGTCCTCCCATTAAATTTTGACTGATGTGGCAGGTTAATTAACGGAAAAACTCTTTTTTTTTTTTACCATTTTACTAAATTACGTGGAAAATTCATTTGGTAAAAATGAATGACGGTGATTAAATTTTTTACATTTAATTACTGATTTACCCTCATCTTCTTCCCCATCCTCTCTTTCCTCTGGCCTTTTTTTTTTCTTTTTTTTCTTTTTCCTCTGGGTTTGCTCTGGCCTTTTTTTTTTCTCTTCTTTTTCTTTTAGCTCTAAGCGAACCCAGGAGCCTGGGTTCGTGAGGAACCCAGCTCGTGGGTTCCCAACGAACCCAAGAGCCTGGGTTCACAAGGAACCCAACTCGTGAGTTCCCGACAAACCCAAGAGCCTAGGTTCAAGAGGAACCCAGGAGCCTGGGTTCGCGAGGAACCCAACTCGCGCTGTCCTTAGCTTCCACAGATTGAGTCGAATTCTTTACTATTTGAAGGTTATTGACTCCACAGATTGCTCATATCTACACGATGGAGTTTTCACAGTTGTTTACTTCTCGGTGCTGAAGTGGTTTCTCGTACTAGCTCAGGCTCACTCCCCCAAGGTTTGATTCTTGATTTCTTTAGCTTCATTGTTAAGCTTGTTTGGTGTAAATTTGAATATGTTAATTCAAGAAGTTGGCAATTGATTTGTTTCCTGTGATGAGGTGGTGTTCTTGATGAGGTGGTGTAAATTCAGGAAGGTTCATTGTAAATGTTCGATGTAGACAAGAACCAAAGCCCACCTGGGTTTGTCGTGAACTCAAGACAAACCCACCCAGGTCGCGCTGGGTTCGTCGGGAACCCAGGCACGAGCTAGGTTGGTCCTGGGTTCATGAAGAACCCAGCGCGCACCTGGGTTCGTCAAGAACCCAAGATGAATCCACCCAAGCCTGGGTTCTTCATGAACCCATGAATAATGAATCCAGGTCACACCTGGGTTTGCGACCTAGATTAGAGCTGGGTTCGCCTGGAAGTAAAAAAAAAAAGTAAAAAGAAAAAAAATAAAGCCCAGAGGAAGGAAAGGATGGGGAAGAAGATGGGGGTACATTTGTAATTTTTTCTTTTTTCGTGCTGGGAGAGTGACGTGGAGGGAGACGTTGAGGGTATCATTAAATCCACGTAAGCATCTTTTACGTGTTGGCATACTCACGTCAGCTGTTCTAGTTAAGTTAACGTGCCATGTGAGCAAAAATTAACGAAATGACCAAAAAAGGGTCGGATTTGTGAACAGTAAGGCAAAAATGGGATTTTTTCGGTACAGGGATCAAAAAGGGGGCTTTTTCTTATAGTAGAGGGACCAAAAATGGTATTTAACCAAGAGTATAAATTGGACAACCAACCCCTTTGCAACACGTTGCTCACCCAAAAAAAAAAAACGCAAATTTTGTGGCACTTTTGTAATTTTATTAAATTTTAAGGGCATTTTGAATGCTCTTAGGCTTAGACGACATTCGGACTGCCGTTTTGATCTTCCTCACCTTTTCATTTTTGCATTTTTCATTTTTTTTTCTTCCTGCTTCCGATCGAGAAAAAAAAAGTTGCCTTCTCACGTATGGTCAATGAATTCAGATGGTTCTGGAATGGAGATCAGGGAAAA